ATAAAAGGTAAAACGCCTCGAATGGTTGAATTTTGTTGACGTGAATTCACCGATTGAGAAAGACCAAAATCGCATATTAATGGATAATTGTCATCCAAAATATGTTTCCGCCATGAAGATCACAATGCGCTAAACCCGCTTCATGGATAACATGCAATATACGTCAAATGCAGTAATTTATCCACCCACGTCAATTTGTTAATATTTTGATCCAAATAAGACAAAAGACTACCATTGTTAGCATATTGCATAATAATAACAATCTGTACTCTTTTGTTTCTGGGTCTTGTCACTCCATAAACTCTAAGGAAAAAATAACCACACTTGGCATGATTTCTGAACTATTCAATAAAAATAAATACAGAGTCAGATTAAATATCACTTTAATTAATAACATCAACAATTGCTTACCTCGGAAATAAATAATTCCGGCGTTTCATCAAAATTCTTAACCGTTTGAGTACAACAGTTCGTGGCATATCCTCTTCGACTGAATACATGGATCTTCTATATTTGGCAGTCCCTTTATACTTGGCAGTATAGACTGTTCCATAACCACCAAATCCGATCTCTTTGAGTTTGTAAAAGTCGCTATACTGCATGTACTTTACACGTTCACTATTTTGTATAAATCTATCCAATAGTGAGTGTATGTCGTGGTAGAAAACTAAATAATATTCCCTCGTAGATGGCTCCTGAGTAATCCCAATTATCCAAATATTATTCGGTGTTAATATTAATATCTCGGGGTATTCCTTAGTTAGCTGTTTGAGTAAACAAATACAGTCGTTAAACGTTAGCAAATACTATTTACATTTTACACGTGAAATAATTTACCTGATGAAAATCAAATAACTGATCATTTTGTTCGTCAACTATCTTTTTGAGTGTCACGAGTATCACTCTCGTCGATTCTAACCAACGTTTTACTGATTCAACAATAATACATGTTGTTTTGGTGTAGTATTCAAATTTGATAAAGGTTATTAAGAACTAATTTACTTTTTTTTTGATATTGAAACATATCATAACAATTAATATAATAAGCAATTTAAATTCTCTTTTACCATAACGCGGAAGCCTTGTTATAATCAGCCAAATTATATATAACCGACCCACCATGAAAAACTCACGTAGCTTCCTCACACATTGCTTCTTGATGAATATTTCCTTCCTTCACCACCATAGGTTTCGAAAATAGACATAATTCGTCGTTTGCTTTGAAACGGTATCATCAATTCGGAAATAACCAGACAGTTAGAAAAAAGTAGACGTATCAGTTGCATAATTATGACATTTTACTAATATTTTTGGAAGTCAAAAAGTTGGCTCCTTTTTTCTGATGAAAAATTGTTACACAATGTCATGATATTTAGCAAAAATAATAGCAGTTACACGGAAGTTTTTTATATACCCGCTATCACTATAGGTGCTTTTGTTGAAATATTTTACTGCGTGTACTCAGAAATGTTACACAGACAATTATGACAGCCGCGATATGTTGATGGTGTGATGGTGTGCTACACTAAGCAATATATAGATACCTACAGTCACAGATTCTCACAATTTTTATTGCATAGGTAACAACATTTATACTTATAAGGGTGCGTGTGACAGCAATTGATAACATTTAACACGCGAACACGCGCTACTCATACTATCATAGGAATCAGTTTAATTAAATTATACGCGTGACTTGTCGGACTTGTTAACCAGCGAAAAATATTTTACTGCGACTGTCACGATTGTTTCCGTAAATAAGAACAATAGTATTATTGTACATACGCGATATGTGTTACACTAGGCAATATATCGATACCCGCTTATGTTTATCAATTGTTGTCAAGTCTGTATTAGTACATAGTAATAGGACAAATCGACTGTCTCTGACTTATCGACAAATTTAAAAATAGCATTGGGTGTTTAGTTTTCCAGTAGAGTCGATAGCCAACAAAAATTGATAAACTTAGTAACAGCAGCTTTAATTACTGGCAACATGCCATTTTATTCTTGTTGGTTCATTTCTTATGTCGTTTTGTGGACAACGTCCTTTAGTATTACAGTATTAGCATTAGTATTAGGTCTAACGGACGCACGGTGATATACAAGCCACCAGAGTTTAAATTTGGCCAAGATCGACGACAGGGTTAGACACATGACTATAAGGGATACGAATAACGAACTGCTACAATGACGCGCTTTTGTTATCTTACCGAACGGTACGCGAGAAACAGCAATTCTGCGACTCATTAGAGGCCGTTATTTCTCTATGCAAAAAGCTTTTTACATGACACTACATGTATTATAACTACAGCCGATCACTCTCGAGGCTTCTTGGTATGTATATTTCTATTGCCTCTCATATGTACAGACCGTGGTGGGAGTTCGGGCCTCAAGGCATCTCTTTCAAGGCATCTCTTTCAAGAGACATTCGGCCAGTGGTCGCCTTTAGCATACAGCTGCTTGCCTCTTACTTTGTTATTATAATGTATCTCTTTCTAATATCAGAACAAGGTCCCTAATGATGTTTCTCAACGGTGGATACAACGAGAAACATAGGACTCTTTGTCTCCAGGCTTATCAAAGCGACCAGGGAATTGTCTTCGAAGCTTATGTTGACACTGCACAACAAATAAGCAACTTGCTCGATTACCAAAAGGTTGGCTGCTGTTCACTGATCTCCTCCTCTCTTTTCTATGCTTTTCAAACCTTTTTCATAACAATCTTTATTTTGCAGCAAACTTACATCACAAAAGCGAAGACCGTCGGTCCCCAACATCACTACGGACAAGATGTAAACCTCATATCTATGGGGATTCTGATGGGAAGACCAGACGAGTATTTGACTGTGACTCTCTAGAACGAGAGATAAGAAAAGAATGTGAACTTGAGGTACGGTAAAATTATTTTTTTGTTATAGCTCACATGGAATGATGCAACTGAGATCTTAGAGCTTTAGCATCGATAATGATCATGTCGATATGATTGTTTTACCTTTGAAGAATGGGTAATCACGAACAGCAATCCATATGATAAATAACGCATCTTATTCAATGCAGCGAAAGTATTGGCTGAACAACAGACCAATACGACGATCGAATCCGTTCATTTTGTGGATGGCTGGGTGCATTTGAATATGGAAGACATGTTGGTAGAAACACAGAGACGGAAGAAGAGATACATCTTGTTGAAGAAACCATTATTTGACGGGATTATACTTAAGATTATGTGTAAGTTAACTTTTCCTTAACACAATATATTTGGTATTATGCAGAACAGTAATCGGAATAAGCTCACGCAATGCTTGCTTGATTTTAGCTCTGACGACCTTCCATTCATTAGCCCGACTAAAACATCGGAAGACGAACACCGCTCCTCTTCCTTAGTCCATTACTTGAACCGATTTTCATGTTCAACAAGCCACAGAGGTGAAATCGGGCTGTTAACGCATCTAACAAACGGCCCGATTTTTTGTGCCATGTCGACAATGTGCTCAGAGGTAAAGCCTTTGGGTATCAGCCAAATGCTGGATCAGAAGGGAGGACCATATCAGTCAATTAGCTTTCTAAATATAGGTATGTATGGATGTCAATATGCCATAAACTGCTATTATTATAATATAGCTATGATACTGAATTATCGTTATCATTTAGTCACTGGACATTTCTCAAAATTATTGACCTGTCATTTCATCCGAAATTTTTTGTCGATCATCTTCCACTCACCTAAACGTCCAAGATGAGCAGCGAAGAACACATTACTAGTGAACAGAGAAAATATTTGTAAAATAGACTATGTACTTACATTTATATAGAATTAATTAATTTATTATTATACATGTATGATTAAGAGCAAAAGTACCTTTAGCGTTCAATCGTAGGTGCAACTAAGAGAAAATATTCCTTATAACCGAGGTCACTTTTATAGCGAAGATTATAATTATTTATAATTAGGTTCATTATACTCAGATCGCTAGAAACCAATGTTTTTAACGATCTATTCACACGATAACCAACCATCATAGCGATAATAATATAACTTTATTGTACATCAAATCGCACAGAAATAAATACTTTCCCAAATATACTTACT